AAGACTAACACACAGTCTCGTTCCATGTGAAGAATGATGCGGCTTAGGATTCGGTAGCTGTAGTCTTCGGAAATGTCTTCCTCGAATTTGCTTCCATAGATGATCACCTTTTCTCTGCTTAAGTCTGACAAAGTCTGGTCAATAATGCTGAGAGCTGAGTCTCCTCTAGTTATGAGCATCAGATGTCGGGCAGTTGGATCTTCAAGATTATCAGAAATAAGGTCGGTGACAGGGAATTGTTGTCTTATCTCTGAAATTCCATAGGATTGAAGGGATTTAGATTTTTCGTAGTAGATATCTTCAATCGTCTTGGCCTGATTTAGTAGGCCACCGAAATTTCTTTGTAATGCACGGAACGTGCTGCAACTCTTGTCATTTGTCTGTAAACTTGTGCCCTAAAAATTACATTAAGTTACATTCAGATTTACTGTAAAGTAAAGATAGACAGCTATRTATGCAAATACACTCACACAAGAATATCAAAATCCCAAAACTTACCTCGGATGCTGYTATCAGTGCTCGGCTCATGCACTTTACCAGTGAGTAGTAGTCTCTCAAGCCGTGGAAGTTCTTCAAGCTCTGCACCTTCTGATATTCAAAATACGACCCAGCTAAACAGCTAAGCATTTCTTGACTTATGTCTGTTGACATAAAAAAATGGAATTGTTTATAAATGTATATGCTATAGAGAGAGAGAGGATTGCTCCTTGTAATCCCGCCTAGACTAGTTAAAGAAACTTTTGGATGGATACTTTTTACCCACCTTTTTCAGCAGTTTTACGTGATGCTTCATCATCAAACTTGTCTAACTGTGCTTCAAGTATAGTCATTCCAGTCTCTTCCAGATCTTCCAACGTTGGTTCAGGTCTTGACAGATGAATGGCACGGTTCATCTTCGCTGCATCTAGAGCCCAGTTTGAGATTCCCACGACGGCCACGTCAGGGAACTCCTGTTCTTCTGGCTCCAGCAGACGATGAAGAACTTTCAAYGGGTTGTACTTGGAGATTTCTGCAAGGCCCACTTCATCAAGCAGCACTACAGGAATGGATTCATCTTGCTTGTTGTGCTCTTTGTACTTTTCTGCTTTCTCGAATACCTATACAAATAGATGCACATTTTCAGTCAAGGAAATGCCTGTCTAACTGCCCGCCTTTAAACAATGAGTAATTCAAGTTACCTTAAGTATTCCTTCGGAAGTTGAAGACTCTGAACCTTGGTAAGACACGAAAAGAAGCCTCGGCAACGTTTTAAAAAAACTATCTTTGGAGTCCTTTCCTCGAAGATTGCTTCTAATGACCTGCATGGACAGGGATTTGCTACATCCAGGTTTACCCACCACAAACACAGGGATCCTGTTCAGAATACACACCAGGATAACAAACACGTTCTCTCTTAGGGCGGTATTTCGAGCAGTGCCTTCTGGAAGCTCCATTCTAGCAAGGTACTCCTCCTGCTCTGCTCGTATGATGAGATCCAGTTTAGCAGCTGAAAATCTCTGGTAATGCTTTGCGTAAACCGCTTCAAGCTTCTGTCGGTACTCCTTTCTTTTGTCACTGGAAGGAATCCTACACTGATATGAATGAGCCAATGCCAAGACGATCGACCTGTCTTCAACCTTAAAGTCTTGCGCTTCTAAATAAAGAACCTTTACCTTAGCGTTAAGTTTTGAGACATCCAAGGTAGGTCGATCGTTGATCATCTTCATGAACCATTTAGCCAGGAGAATGCAACGGCGGACATCCCGAAGACTCACGCAGTAGCGACTTTTTTCAACTTGACGGATAAATTCTTGTGAGGTTGCAAGAAGATCAACCATTAGCTCGGAGTCATTTATTTGCAATTTATCGACCATGCGTTTGATGTAAGCTCGTTCATCTTTGGAGTCGAGAGATCCATAATCCCACACATAGTCCATCATTGTCTCTGGAAGTGGTTTCACTCKATACACAAGATTYGAATACTCGTCTGTCAGGCTCTTTCCAGTCAGACCTGCTGTGACGATGCTRTCAGTTGGTCTCAGGCAGTAAGGATTGCACGCTGCTATAAACACAAGATTAGGAGGAAGTTCTGTGCCATTCAGGGTTCTGTGACAGATGATGTCATTGATGAGGCCAAGGTAATCACAGGTATTTATCTCATCAAAGAACACCCACACTTGCTTTTCCGGATCTCTTTCTGCTTCTCCTATTTGGTCCTTTGTAAACTTCACGATGTCTTTCTCGTAGATTCCTGCATGGAAGTTAAGAACTTCTATTGGAACGCCACAACTGTTTGCCAGATAGCGCACAAGGCTTGTTTTACCACATCCTGTCTCTCCCATCACAATCACGGGAACTCCAGCGCGTATACGTTGGATGATCAAGACCATCTTTAAGATGTTGTCTGGGGTCAGAACATAGCTGTGGATATCAAAGTCTTCTGACTGATTTCTTGTATCGGCAAACAAAATCTTCTTTAGCCTGGCTTTTAGCTCCCGTTCACTGAGGCCTCCCAAATCTCTTAAAGGGTCATCTTGGCTTTCAAACAGCTTTTTCACTGGATCGGAAACTCTGTCAAGCTCACGGAATAGAGCAGCAACCGAATATGCTTCTTGGAACATTACAACCAGATGATTTTGCTCAGTCCATGTGACCATTCCTTTCACTCTGTCGAACATCTTGTTTGCCACATCCTTTTGCTGGCTCGAAGAAGGAATAYCAAGACTMCAGARCTTTTTGAACAAAGCAGCTTGTTGTCCCTCTTTACAGGCCGCAACAGACCTAGTTGCAAAGTCAATAGAGACATCTTTCAGAGCTTCAAACAATGGTACTCGCACGTTACTTGMGTCTTTCAAAGCTCCTTTTAGATTTTCAGGACGGAAGAATGGACTTGCAGAGAACTTTCTTAACTGAGWTGCCAGAACATCGACGAAGCAATGGACAACATTGAACGAAAGATCTCCCCGGGAAATGAAATGTCGTCTGATCAATTCCCTGCATTTGCTTCCACTCAACGGAATGGCCTGCTTCAGGTCTTTCAGACTCAGCGTGTCGTTTTCCAGGCTCTGTTTAGAATATGCATCTAAGTAATGGCAAACTACTTGCATCGCACTTTCCTTTTCTTTGCTGCACACGAAGTCTTGAAAGYCCTGCCATTCCACATGAATGTTGGAATAACATTTAGTCGTGATAAGAGCATCTATTAAACTATGCTCAAGGGTATTTGCTATCTCAATAGCAATGTGGTACGTAGGAAGATGATACAGTTTTGTTCCAGACGAAGCCATTCCAAAGACTATCAGCTCAAAAAGAAAGTTGTCCACCAGAAAAGGGTCATCTACTTCTGATATATCGATGTGCAAAAGGCATTCTTCGTCGAGTCCAAGGTTTGATAAACGATGCACAAGCTTTTCACGCGATACTGGACCATTAATGGAGAAACAGACGATTCTTTTCCTCTTCTCTGCTGCTCTTCGATAAATGACTTCTGTCTTTCCAAGGCCCGGAATATCTGATGTTACAGTTGTTAATTCTGGAAATGATCGAGCGAAGGTGTATTGTAACTCAGAATCTGTCAAACCTGGAATATCCTTTACGCACTCGCGAAACTGGGACACCATGTGGTGATTGTCGCCGCCTCTACATATCAGTACAAGCCAGTAGTTTGATGCGGATGACTTTTGAAATTCYCTTATAGAATCGATAAGCTGGAGTTGTAGATCAGTTGACAGAGCATCGACATTCGCAAGGCAATACGGGCTATCACTCTTTTGACTRTCTGTAAAACATCGCCAGAGGAAAAGTTCTATTTCATACCATGTTGAGCTGCCATCACAGAACATGATTCTGTTTGGTTGGGGGGACTTACAGTGTTCAAAGAGTTTCATGACAACTGAAGTCGTTTTTTTGCTGCCTTGGCCGAGAGCAGCTACCACCAGCCCTCTCTCTTTATTCACCTCTAAGACGTTTCTTATGGACTTACTGAAGAATGCTTCAAGAGACATGCCGATCAACGTCAGCTGCAACACGTAGGACGTCTCTGGAATTGAYTTGCATGTGTTTTGGAAGGTCCGCACTTGGTCCAAAGAAACAGATTTATCAACAAAACGTAGCAGTGAAAAAGCCTTTTCAATAATTGATGTTGAAGTCAGTTTATTGAGGAAGTCTTTCAAAACCCACAACTGCTTTGCGTGGAAAGAATTCAAGTAAAACTCTGAACGTCTTGCAGTTTTCAGTGTATCTTCCCACTTCAGAAGGTCTTCATTCAACTTCTTGCAAATTACTTGGGTTTCTTCTAATGTTTTGCATTCATGGGAGTATTCTTGGTACTCTGGGTGTCCAGACCTTTGA